TGTGTGATTCCCTTAACATTAAAACAAAAATGTGCCCTGTTGACACTATGAGCACACTTATTTTATACCAAAACTTACTAAAAGTAGTACCTTTTTACCAGAATTTCACCCGACCTCGATAGCTTGTTCCGTTCAAAAATTAAGGGGGGATGACTTTTTACGTCTTCACTGTAGGTTTATTACCTTGGATGAAATATTATTTTCATCAAAAACTGATGTCGAATTGGAAAAATGTTATGCAACCTAATACTGAAACGTAAAAACGTTTCTATCATTTGAAATATTGAAATTGAAAACAATGTTCTTCATCGAAAATAGTTCTGTTGTACCTAACGCACTACTATTATTATCGAGCCATATGTTATATTATAACTTATAATTAGGAGTTTTCTAACAAATTTATCAAATATGTCAAATGACCACATGATAAGTTAAGCTACCATCTGTTTTATTGAACCGATACGCTTTATCAAGATTATACATTTGTATATTGTATTGACGGACCTACTGTCTTGTTCAATAAACTATCGTAAATGAACTCATATCTTCATCAGATGACTAGTTATAACAGTTTCTCACATTGACCCAAATGAAAAATTTCGGAAAGGTTCATTGTTTCGTACTGAATACTTTAAAAAATAAATTACAAGATTTTACCAATGACTGCTACATGATTGTTAAAAAACGAATAGATAATAGTTTTTGGTACTGTACAAATGGGGAGGAAGTGATTTAATCGGAAAGAAAAAAAGCCAAGTTAGGATAAGAGTTTAACATTATCAAACAAAATATTTTTTCCATATTGGATGAAAAACAAAAAAATCATAGGAAGTGTTTTCTATTAGAAACGCAGTATTTCAAAATCATTATGAACAACACCCTGTACTTCGACCAAATGTGCAAAAAATTCACTTCGCCCATTACACATTATAATCGAATTAACTCTGACAGCAATGTCTCATAGAAATGCATAGCACTACAGGTGAATTATTGAGATGCTGTGAATCATATTTATCTGGAAACACGGTCTCAATGAATGTATTTCATAAGGATTTCGTTCTCCAAGTGAGATAAAAGTTGCTTTGGATGCTTGGGTCTTCAACCGAATGATTCTGTTTTGGACAAAATTGGCATCTTCAAGGTATGATCACGAACGGAACTTTATATATGTGTGCCATATTCCAGAGAATTCTAATTTGAATGTTGCAAATGATTAAAAGTTGACAAGGTATATATAACTTGATAAATCAAAATACTATGAGTTACTGAGAAGCTATTAACGAATTTTTGGGATACAAACTGACTAGAGGAATGTGTTTTTTGTATAATTCAGTTCTCATATAAAAGTAATTGTGTCGAAAGTATTTGTCTTCCATGTAATTCAATGTTTATATAAAAACAGCTGTTTCGAGGTGTCTTTTTCTTCCAGTTTCTGTCGGAATGTTACTCCTTTGCATGCATCTTTGTATATAGTTACTTCTTTGGAATTGATTGCTTCCTTCCTTTCTTTGGCATCAAAATGAAGAAGAAGAACGCCAAAATATTTCTTTCCCAAACATCATTTCAATATGTAACACATTGGCTGAAAAGATCCATGCCTAAGAAAAAAACACGTTTTTTCACTTTTCGAAATTAGCGTTTTTCATCAACGTAATCTCCATCAAGAGCCATAAAATCATTCCAGCGCCACTCTAGAACGATATATCTTTTGTCTCAAAATAGGCCCCAGTTTCAGCAATAACCTCATTCGAGCAAAATTTCTTACCGGTGAATATTGTTTTGAGGTCTGTGAACAGCCAGTAATCACTAGGAGCCGAATCTTGCGAATACGGTGGCAATGCGAAGTTCAATTCATGTAGTTTTGTCTTTTTTTTTGGTTGACTTGTGACACGATGCGTTGTCTTCATTAAACAACTTTTTTTTTCTTTGCCATATGCGGTTGTTTCTTTGCAATTTCAGCCTTTGAACGCTCCAATAACGCTATATTATATTCACAACCTTTCCAGCCAATGTTTGTACTTTCGTGCGCTTTGGAAGGAGTTCACCAGCTGCTCTCCGCCCAGATGACGATCGTTTTGATTCCGGAGCGAAGTGAATCTTATACTGAACATCCTTTTTGCGTCATGAAAATTACGGCCATTCTCATCTTGATTTCGTTTCTTCCTCAAAAGATCTGTCGCGGACATTTTTAGAAAGTTAAACGAAATAAAATAAAGCATATTCTCAGGATCAATGGATCAAGGACAGCTGTCAGCTAACACGATACTCTCTGTTACTAGAGTAATACGGTGTGGATTCTTATCTACATAATAGATCGCAAAAAAAATACTAAATCAGATTATAATAAATAAGGTTCATTTTCGTGAACAATGTCTTTATCTCAAACATTAAAAACTTTTTATAACCTCTGATAACTAACTTTGGAGCTGTTTTCAATCTCCGTTAGTTGCATTATTACAATTATCGTTTTTCTAGTCTCCACTCCATACATCAATAACTCTACAACCGGGTATCTAAATTGAAAAAAGGTCGTTGTATAAAGAATGGAAATATTTCTCGAACGAAGGTTCACATCCCACTTTCTATTTGAAATAAAAGTTGATAGCACCTTCTTTGCGGCGAATGACGTCACACTATTGGTTTTCTAAATCAAAAAGTACCAAAAATGATGAGTTTTCTCACAGAGTCTGTTCAACTGTTTTTCCTTGTTCAAAAGCCAAAATAGGGGAGATTACTTATGTCCAGTGTATATGGTTTTATTTATTGAGACGGATATCTGATTTTTTCAGCTCTTTATTTTTAAGTTACATGACTGAATTCAATGTAGCCAAATCTGAATTCAACTAATTATTTATTTTTGAAATCATTTTATCTCATGATTGAAATCAGCAGCATTTTCACTCAACCTTCAAATATTTTTGTAAGTGAAACAAATATTCATTTTCAAATTGATGAATCTGTAGTTTTGCTTCGAATAAAATGTGTTTCCACCGAATTATAATTTATTTCAATCAAAAACTTTTTTTCTGTGCAGGGAAAAACAGGAATAATTCCATGCACTCGTTTGTGTTATGAAACGTTCAGGTATAGAACACAAAGTTTTTTTGTTGACCAACTACGGCTCAATCTGTCACTCTCTCATTGAAATTTAGTATGAATAATTATTAGTTGGAGTTAATGGATGGCTAGATAGAAAGGTGACCTTGAATATCGATATCGTCGTCCAACGATAAATATACCGTTGATTGATTCTTCAGTAATCTATGAGTTGATATCGAACACAAATAGAACTTTCATTTGATACAGTCAAATATTGTGATAACGGTGGGTTATCTATAAAAAAGTGTATTCACCTGGAGACCAACAGACAAACGAAAGTCTCATAGGTAATGAGTGTGGTGTATATTCTTCGATTATTCAATGCATAAAAGTTCAATCTGATCCTAATGAAATAATGACACATGACACATGATTATGATACACAAATGATATCTGACTTCGGGTGATACAGTCATCACCCGAAGACGATTGTGGATATTAACAATCGAAACGTCGTGAATTAACTTGGTTTAGAATCTCTTAACTTTTTAATTTNTACTGCAATCCTCATGTTGTCCTCATGAGTATCTAGTGGTACTGGTGAAGAGTACTGCTTTTTATTCAATCTTGCTTCTTCAAAATTGCTTTGAAATGTGAATAGTTTGTCGTAGCGGCATATGTAGATATTTCCACCTACAATGTTTCAACAACCTTCTCTGTACCATGGAAATAAATGTGGAATAGAAATACATACTTTCACAGAAAATTTTCTATTTGAGCCTTCATGATTCAAACTACTTCATAATTAAGAATTTAATTTTTTTTTTAATGCAAGATTCGTTGTTAAGGACAGCAATATCTAAAACTTATCTAATGTGCTGCATTGCAACAAGAAATGCATAACTTTCCAAAAATCAATGTTTTTTAACGAACAAAAAATTCATCACAACAAAAGTTTCAAGGAAATTTAACAAAAAGATACCTTCAACGACGAACTGATGAAATAATTCATAATAGCTTTCACACCTTGAATGACTCACAAATTTATCAAAAAACTTTCTCTCATTTCGAGAAAATCACGTCATCTTATAAATGATGTGTGCCAGAAATATTGGTATGAAAAGTAACAAATACACTGAAAAATATATTTTCGTCGAATGCAATAAATATTTGTAGTGTGAAATATCCATGTTAGCGGTATAGGCAGTTTGCACAAATTTTTAGCAATGTCAACAATACTCAGTTTATCGCAGACTTCTGCAAAAATTTTAATTGGTTTCCATTCGTACACAAAAATTTGAATTCAAGATTTTGGGAATATTACAAAAAACTAAAACCCATTGAAGTAGATCATTCTGAAAATTCTATATTCATATAGTTCACTGCATATTTCTTGCCTAATTACCTACGGAATGAAATCATCATTTCAAATTTCTTCAAATGTCGGGGTACAATTAAGTTTATATTATCACTGAATCAACTACATCAGTTATTTCGATTTTGTAATGAGATTTATATTTTTTCCTGTCATCAATCTCTTATCTTCATACAACGTGATAAATATATGAATCAGTTTGCTGTGATCCTAGACCCGTAACATAATCAGAGTATCTTTGGGTCCTTCAGAATATATCGTACGCAGATTCCATTACTAAAAAACTGCCAATGACGAATAAAAAATGCCTAATGAATATTATTTATAGTTTGAGTAACATGGTTCCTTATGAAAGCATTATTAACGTTTACCAGGAAAACCGATTATTGGATTTGAGATAAGTAAACAAACTTCACTTTCTAGAGTGAAACCAAAAATATTATTTTGGTGAAAGTTGATAACCGTTCCGGTCATTGAGAGGAATCGGTAAACTGGGATAACCAGATGCATACAAACTCAGTTTTGAAGAAAATTATCAAGAAATAGCTATTATAGTTGATAACGTCGACATTTGAAAACTACTCACATAATTCTGGGAAACACACAATACCGAGAATGCAAGTACAAACCGCCACATTATGTCAACACTTCGATAGTTTCGTACGTTCTGAATTAGTAGGCGAGTGCGAAAAGAATCAACAAATAGCAGCACCAGCAGCACGCGTAACCCACAATCAGCCCAAGGTTAAACTACACCTCGGGCAGCCGATCTTTTATAGTTTCGTCTGACTGACGGATCACAATCACAGATAAAAAATTGATTTGAGCAGTTGAAGATAAGTAAATAAGACTATATTGAATCATATATTGAGTGGAAATTGTACATAGTGGCGTAAAGAGATCACAAGGCCTAGTTACATCATGACACTCTTGAGTTAATATGTTTAATATTTTTGATACGAGCTCAAAAAAAATTGATGTTGATTTCAAATCATTGGAACCGATAGACTGAAACATCAGACACCTCATTGTGTTATTACAATAGAAATAATAAAAACTAAGATTTTTTTGAATGGAACTAGCTGATAAAGCTATATTTACACTTACTAATACAGTTTGACATTCATTTCGCTATTCAATAGACTGCTGGCAGGAATGATGAATCACAACAATATTATATTCTACCTATATTTGTTACGACGTAGAGAGCAGTTAGAGGCCAGATTGAATTACCTTGAAAGATCAAATGTAACCCTTAAAATTCCTTGGGTCGTTGAAAAAACAGGTCAATGAATTTTTCATTATTACAAAGAAATGAATGTATTACCTTCCATACTTCTAATTAGTTTCAAACAAAAATCCAAACAGCAATTTATACACTCCTGATCTATCTGACACTAAACTCTTGTTTTTGTTATTCATCTTGCCCAAATCCAAAACAAGCACTGTTTCAAAAACACTAGAATTGCAATACTCTTTTCGACGCGCCTTTAACCGATCAAGTTAATAATTTCAGTAAATGAAGATGTCAATTTGGCTACTCCATCGTCACCCGAGCCAGAGTTTTCAGTTCTACTTTTCAATGCTTGTATGAGTTAGGGTAGGGAGGGGGAATGGCGGTCACTTAAGGAAAACATGGTATATTCTTCAAATTATTTATCATAATTTGAAATTAAGAAAAGTAACAAAATCGTCAATTATCAAGTAATCAACAAATTCAACAACAGAAGCATATGTCTTTGACCTACTAGTAGTAAAAAAAACATACATGTTTGAGCGGCATTGCCCCTGACTATGGGTGATACCGCTCAGGATACGGGGTAATGAGATCAATCTTATATTTTATTTTTGGACTCATAAATCACATATGTATACATCTGGCGAATCCCATCCTGAACATATAGCATGAGCCCACAGTCCGTAGAAGGTGCAGCGATACCACAACTCGTTATTTTTTCCAAATTCTTCTCAAATAATACATTCGTTATGAATTTCATCATCTACATTCATTTCGTCATCACTGTCAACGTCGCAAAGGTGCTCTTCATCTTCACTCTCTGAAGAACTTTCTTTGCCCACTTTTTTTGGTCTTGTAATTTCTATCCTCGTCTCTTACAATTGGATAAATTCTCTTTATATATTTTTTCAAACAGTAAAGAATCTATCAGATTGCTATCATAACAGTAGATCATGCTGTTGAATACTACTTCTGCTTCTTTGAGTTAATATGTGTGGATGGATTAATTAGGAATGATATTATCTATGCGTGCCGATTTACTAACATTTGAAAATTGGTGTTCATCATTATTTTCATTTTTGTCAAGTCCAGAATATATATTTTGAATTTTTGTTTCATCTCCATAATGAACGTTATGAAAGGGTGAAGAAAATTGAAGAAATACAAGCACCTTTTCAGTTGCCTGTGGAACAAACAGGAGTCAAGACATATCCATACATTGAAAGGGGTATATTTTTAGGAGGGATTAATTTTTTGGATTTCTACTTCTTCAGCTTTGTGCGAAAAACATTTGTAATCTTCCAATGAAAGGAAGGAAGTAATTATTTTCAAAATGAATTCTCTACAGAGATGTATCGATCATGAAAAGATGTCTAAGGTTGTTTCGGAAATTTTCTCCGTTTTGGTATCATGTGTTTTTGTAGCTCCATATTTCAATAAATATATATTCAGAATGTGTCGTGATATATAGGGTAATTCCGGTGGAAATGGCTCTAGTAACTTTAAAACTCTACTGTGAAGGAATTATAATGAATAAATCATTAATTGATACAAAAAATTTAACTTTACTCATAATTCTGATCAAATATTAACGATAAATCACTTTGACAAATGCAATAACATAATTGTAAACTCATAAAAAAAATTAGGGCTGGCCATCTCTCTCAGGATGTCCGGGAGTGATAACCATAGCCGTCGGGGAGAGATGGCCAATACTTTTTTAGCCTTTCCCTTTGCCCTTGAGATCTTTCAGATTCTTTTTTTCCTATTACCGCAGTATGAACACATGTCCTCAAACAGGCTGCAGAACATGCAAATATTGTATTGTATACAATCGTCTATCAGTTGTGTCTTATAATAATTATCACCATAACCTCTGCAGTTATCTTTCTCTCAGACTTCAGTTTCACTTTCAGAGGTATCCTTGAAAACGATGGAAATTTCTTCGCAGAAGCTATCAGAAAACCTACGAATAACCTTTCGTTTCTTAACAGTCTTTTTTTTTCTCAGGTTTATCAGTCTTAGTGTTTGTTTTTATTATTTTTGTTTTTTTTTGACTTTTGTTCCCTATTTTCTTTTTAATTTTTTTCATTTTCCGTTTTTCAATATGCTCTCCAGATATCAAAAGAATTCTTACTTGTTTCGCTCGTTTGCGAACTTCGTGTAGTTTCACAGGCAGTGGAGACACTTCGTTAAGTACTCTTGTTGGTGTTGGTTGATCCACCGTCTGAATGGATGTACTTGGGCCTGGATCTGAAATTGATTGTGTCTGCGCTGCATATCCGATATTTCTTTCAAACGGGTTGCTCAATATTTTCACTGAAGGCGTACTACGGATTAGCTCCAGGATTTAGAGGAAAAACTCCTGCTGTCCTAAATCCTGATATTGCATTTCCACTTGTCGCTGATTTTCCCCTGGCTTGGTATATTAAGGAGCCAAATTGTTATCTTATGAGACGACGTCTAGGGTGCTGTTTCATCCATAACCTGCAGGATAACCTGCAGGATGTTTAATTTTTAATTGCTCAGCAAAATTGAATGCAATTATTCTTAAATCATTTTCAGTCAAAAGAAAGCCTCTTGACTGCATGTCTTTTACATGCTTGATCAGTCTTTTTCATTATCTGTCCCATGTGTTCTTCAGTGTTGTTTTTCAGTTGTAACCTTCTTTCAAGGGTTTTTCTTGTTATTTTGTAGATAAAACAGGCCCTATAAATTGTCATCCATCGATTTTGTACTTCTTCCGTAGCATTGCTTGAATCTTCTTCACTCCATTCACCTCGACCAGCAGCCACCTTCCGTACGTATTGGTTCGGCATCTGTAGAAAATATTGAAGATGAAAAATAATCAAAATTAGGACATAAAATTTTATGGCTATCTCTCCCGTAAATACTATGGTCATCTCTCCTAATTGTCCGGGTAAGAGGGCCACATTAGGTAATAAAAGCCACTTCTCAAGTTAGTGGTACTTTTGGGTTAGAACACCGGAAAAGTTTATTACTTCACTGAGAAAGCATGAAAACGGGCATAACTTTCAAAATCTTTTTGTGATCACTTAATATGTTAACCCCAGTACTTAACTCGCATGCATAATAAAAAAACAAAGTCAAATTACTCACCGTTTCATCATTTTTTAGACAAAAAAATCCACTGACAGTTGTTACCCGTGCCGATGCGAACCGAACTAAACGATGACTAGTGCCATCTATTGATTATTACTGGAACTTTTTTCTATTAGCCATCTCTCCCTGTACGGCCATCTCCCCCGATAAAGTATTTTGTACTCTATACATTGATACTGTTCAAGTTCTCCCAAATTTCAATTTTTTGCCTCCTTTTAGCTCATTACCGTGTGATATTAAGCGATTTTTAGATAATTGTTCTCTACGGATTCAAATTGAACCAATAGTGTTAAAGAACGCACTGTTCGACATTGGTTTTCAAAATTTCGTTCCGAAGATTTCAGCCTCAATGATGAACCCCGAAGTGCTCGAGCTTCTATTAGGACGAGGATTTGGGGAACCTAATGGGGACTGACGCATCACAAACGGCGCGAGGAAAGGCGGAGAACTGGGCGATTTTTGATGATTTAAAACATATTGGAAAGGTCAAATAGCCCCACGATTTGAACGATTGACAAAAATTGTCACTTTTTGATGTATGTTCCTCATTGATTTTGCACAACCAAAACGATCCTGTTTGGGATCGGATCATCATGTATGATGGAAAGTGGATCATCTACGATAACAGGAGACGGTCAGAACAGTAGTTGGATACCGACAAGCCACCTAGGCACTTCCCAAAGACAAAATCTCGCCAAAAAAAGACCATGGTTACTGTATGGCATTCAGTGGCTAGTTTGATTCACTGCTACAATCTGCAACCAGGCCAAAACATTACAGCAAGTCGTATTGTGAGAAAATCGACGAAATGTACCAAAATCTGCGTCAGCAGCAGCCGGCACTGGCCAACAGAAGAGGTCCGATTTTGCTCCACGGCAACGCCCACCCGCACGTTTCACAAATCATCGTCTGAAAATCGAACGAATTGAGCGTCGAAGTTCTGGCGTCCCACCATACTCCCCAAACCCCTCACCAAGTGACTACCTTCGTTTCTAGCACTTCTATAACTTTCTCACCGGTAGAACTTTCGCCAATCAGAACCAACCATAAACGGCCTTCGTCGACTTTATCGAATCATGAGCAACCAATGTTTATGCAGACGAAATCAATGTTGACAAAAGTGCAGTGATTCAGGTAGCTCTCATTTTGATGACATTGAAAAAGTATATATCAACATGGCGGGTGAGAACGGTCGTGTTACAGATGCTCCTTGTTGTAAGGGTTGTAAATCAAAATCTCTTACGGGATTAAAATGTTTAAAGTGTGATAGTGTATACCATGCAAGTTGCGCTAAATATAGTGCCAAAGTGAAAGTTATTATTTTGTGTAAAGATGAAGAAGTAGAAATCCAAATCCTTTCTTTCCCACATATCCATTACCATTACCGTGAGTAAAGAATTTTATGA